AGAAACTGCTCTAATGCCCTAGCCTGGGTGGCACTGGACTCCACAACAGACCCCCTTTTGTCAAGCTGGCGCTAGAAGACGAACTGGTTCTCCTCCGAAGGCTCCTTGTCATACCAAGGCCAAGCTTCTACTGACCCTATAAACAACGTCCTTAACTTCTCCAACTTAGCCTGAGAAAGGGCGGAAGGGCCACCTAAAACTTGCCTCCTGGTCCGCCTCATAAGGAGGGCCTTCAATAGTTACCTCATGGACAACCGAGGCCTCTTCGGCAACCGACTCCTTTCTAGGTCGGCTAGCATACTTAGTAGGCACAGCAACCGCCTCCTCAGTTTGTGCCACAACACCTTCAAGCTCATCCACAAGAGGATTATCACCCTTCACACCCCTTGCCGGGGGCATTGTCCAAAACAACAACGTCAGATGAAGTGGCTCGAGGAATTCCCTGGGTCGGAAGAGTAGAAATCTCACACACCGACCCTTGTGCGGATTCACTTGCTTGTTAGGGTGGGGCCTCACCTGAGTGCCAAGTCACTACCACTCCCCCTTGATTAAGAAGGGGTGTGCTCGCCTCTGCTTCAACCCTTTCCTTCTTCGAAAGTTTGGCACCTCCTGATGGGCCTTGAACCTTCACCTTCAACTTCCTCCTCTTATTCTCCGACCTCTCAGCACAAGCCATGGTCGGGCTTGAACCGACCAACCAAGCCATTATTTTGGCCACATTGGCCATTATATGCTCAGTCGTCTCCAGGGCAAAGTTTGCCCATAGTGCTTCTGGAGCCTTACCGAAGACTGACCTTGGGAGGCCTCGACTCGCTCTTTTCATAGCAACAGGAGAACAACCTGAGCTCGTCTTCTTCGGTTGGAGGAGCGGGAGAGATTCTGATAACTCATATCACTTAGATGTCAAAGAGATTCCCACTATAGCGAGACCCCGCATAGGCTCGAATCTTATCCAACTCGCACCTCTTCGACTCCGAGAGAGGATCCGCCTTCAGAGCATCCTTCTTTATCTCTGGCCAAGTAGGGCAGGTCAGGAGAGGGTCAGCACTAAAGATGAAGAAGAATCGGTCCTTCCACCCTTTGTTGGAGTCCGGGATGTTGGAAACCAACTTAAAACCTCTGACAATTATAAATAGTAGTGCCCCTCATTCTTGGTCACCTTGGCACAAACCAAGTAACCAAGGATCCCGAGCGTAGGCTCTACATTCACCTGGTGGCAGATAACGTCAAAGCCGACGAGCAGGGTGAGGGAGTTTACCTTTAGCTGTGACGACGAAATCCCAGAACCTTGAAGATTTGTCGGAGAAGGGATGGATCAGAAAGCGCAAACTATACTCCAAATGGTGGAAGTACACCAGAGCTATGTTCCTACCGTGGTAGTAGACCAGCTGATCTTTTGACAATGCCGACAGAGTAAACACTCGAGAGATGTCGAACCGGCCGTAGTAGGTCTTAAGAATCGACGAGAGCATCTTGGAAAGATGGCATTCACGAAGCAAAGTGATCCTAGCTTCGCTGCGAGCAAGAGCACTTGAAGCAGAGGAAGCCATTGTTTTCGGCGAAAGAGATCGAAGAAAATTGAAGGAGATGACCAAAAATCGCACAAACGCAGTAGCCAAACTCTTGGGATTGAAAAATAGTAGACTAGGTTATTGGAGAAGAGGGCGTATATATAGGTGAATGAGTGAACATGTGACATGATCTGAGCGAAGGACTCCGTTATCAAAGAACAACTAAAAAGGCACGCGAGATTTGAGGCAACCACTCGAAATTTGAAGTGGTATCCCCTTCTAACTGATGCATGATCTCCCCTTACGTCAGAATGTCACATTAATAGTGACCCATCAGTAACCCCTTATTAAATGCGCTTCAGATTCCTAGGAGACGATTTGAATTTCACTCAGACCTAGCAACCCGAGTTCGAGTGAAAGGGGCCAATGTTGTATCACAGAAATTGTTAAGTGTAAACTACTCTTGAGAGGACGACACATGTCTCGATTAGCCAACTTAAGCATTATAACACTAATCCGACCCAGGTCTCACGAATGTCGGCTCCCCTCCTTAAAGCATTTTAAGACCCGAGACGAATTGCTATCTCTCAAAAGCCCGAGACAAAAGACGCCCCTCACTCGGATTCTCTCAAAAGCCCGAGAAGAGAGGTGTCCTCACTTGGACTCTCACGAAGGACCGTGACAAAATGCGCCTCCGCTCGGACCTAGTGATGCATCTTGAACCATGGGATAACCTATCTGTTTTGTCTTTCCTAGCAATGTTAGCCATTTAGTGTCGCATTAAATGCATGACCAGAGTCATCATTACTCCCCCACCAAAGTCATAATGAGTCATTAGACCACACCAGCACCTTAGCCATTCTTTAGTCGTCGCATTAAATGCAAATATGACTCTGACCACCTATTACCAGCTCGTGCAGAGTATTGACTGACTAAGCCGACTGCATAGACCTGCCAAAGTTACCCAAATACCCTTTTTTGGCTCACTATGTATATGCAGATTGTCATATGCATGAAGGTACACTATTCTCTATGATAGAAAACCCTAAAAACTACTTCTTTCATACATTTCTCTCCCTTAAGATCATCACTAATCTGATCGTCAGAGGAACCACCGAAGAACCAAACTCCGACTCTCTAACGTTCCACATTTGTGCAGGAATCTTCGTCTATTCAGATGGATCGACCATCAAAAGAGGATTAAGGGACTCTAAGCTCTCCCAAATCTATCCTAATCCACATAATTAAGTTTCTAACACAAACAATATACAAATATAGAAAATGATAAAAGCATATAAAATTAAAATTTATACATAACGTGATACAAGAGATGTATAAATAAAAGTAATTTCTCACATGAGAGTCCATTAGTATCCATTAGTATGTTTGACATATCTAAAAAGCTAAAATTACTAAATTAGATCTTTCTATAATCAAAATTGACATCAAATCCATTAATATAATCAAAAATAATATTCAACCATATGCCCAATACATTCAAACACTTCAATACAGATACACGTATTTATTCAGATATTTGTATCCTACCAAATATAGACCTCTAGTATTCATATCTGTATTAGATAAATATCTAGATATATTATGGATATTCATTTCCTTTTGTATCCATATTCTCAATTGCCTATCAGCACTCCTTAACTTACATAGGACTTAAGTGTTTTTTTCAGATGAATTAGTGTATTTCTTACGAGGCACAACTTGCTTTACATCCTTGAATAAAATAAATGTTTGAAAATATCATCCTCTGCGATTTAACTTTATCAACACCAATATTAGTACGCAAGTGGTCAATTCAGTTGTTTTTGAACCCCCCACCCCACCACCCTCCCCCCAAAAAAAAAGAAAAAAGAAAAACAAGACCTCAACCCGAAAGCGAAGTAAATTGTTTTAAATTCAAAGCTTAACGAACCAATCAAATTGGTTCGGTTCGAGTCTCTCCAATTTGGGTCTAGACAGCCCAGTGAGAGCTATTTTATTTAGAAAAAAAAAAAAAATATTCTTCCTCTTTAAATCTTCTCATTCCTCTCGCTTGTATCCCTATACCAAGTTGAAAAGCAAAATTCGTCAAATCCGCTTCTTTACAAACTACAATCGGATCTTTATTAATTAAGACACATAAAAAACATTAGTTTAAAATTTTCTTCTCGTCTAGAAAGAGCGTCAGTTTTGGGATATTACATCGTCGGTTTGGCTATTTCATTTTCAAATATTCTAAAACCAATCTGAACTGATTTTTTTTTTTTATATAAAATCAACCCGTATGGCCAATATTTGGTCGATTTAGTCAATTCTCATCAATTAATGCTCACCTCTAAATATTAGGATTTCCAATAAGTTCTGCAAATAATTGATTCCAAACACATTTGACCTTGAAACCAAATTGTTATATACTTAAAAACTCCTCAGATTCAACCGACACTACAAAACTTAATAAGAAATTGTGTCAAACACCGAGCCCGCAAGCCAATTTGCGCGATGCAAGCGCTCGTATTCATTAAGAGCAACACATTGTCTGGCTCAAACTAATACATAAAATGACTAGTCATCGCTACAACTGATTTCCATGTCTCAACTTGTAAACTCAACCATACTCTTTCCAAATTCCCAATGCGAAACAAATAATTGGGGTAGTACAATCATCCTACCACAGGTTCACTACCAAGCAATGTGAATTCTTAACATGACTCCTAGAAGATCTAGAGGTGGCTCTCACGACACTCACAAGCAATGTGAATTCTTAACATGACTCCTAGAAGATCTAGAGGTGGCTCTCACCGCACTCACCCACAATAACACTAAATTCACTCTTAAGTTGCCAATCGCTCTCACACCATTGGTCTATCTTGAGCCAACAATCCCGTAAGCCCAAGAATCGCTCAAACCGCCACAAAAATGATTATCAATTGTTACACTATGATTCCATGAGTCACCTTATATATCCATCCATACTCTTTCCAATATTGAACAAGTATGTATCCCAAATTGTATGCCACATTCATATTTCTAGAACTGATGCCAACAGCAAACAATTCCCTACTTCAAGTTTCCCCACACTTGATAGCATAAAGGATTTTTCATACACCCATACAAAGGAGACCATAATCAACCTTAATCAAGTAGGAGCCTCACAAATTAATTCACTTTTCAATAGTTATGTAAGCTCCAAACCTTTCTTGTCCCTGTGAATTCATTAGATAGCAGCATCCATGAATCCATCCCCTAAGATCGCCTTAGACCCTGCTCAATGGAATTCACTCCAAATGTCAATTTCTCTTTGAATGTAGGCTTAATTCAACATATCATAAATGTAAAAACTTCAATTGTAAAGCTAGGAATCAGATCTTTCACAAGTACAAGAGTTAAAATGAAAATCAACCCACAACAGCCATAATAAGTGAAGGCAGCGAAAAATTCACAAACTACAAACAAATTCAATTTCGAACTAGATTCAACTACTGCGATTTTACATTTTACGAAAATTATACACTTCTTTTCATTTCATAACTCCCAAATAAAAGAATATTAAAATTCTTATCTACAATCCAACATAGGGTTGTCCTCACTTTGCAAAAATATGAGGAATTATCATAAATATTGCACAACAATGACATAAACGGATGTTTATTGTTCAAAAAACAAATTAGATTATGTTTAATCAATAACGGGCAAGCCAAAGTATGCGTTTAGAACAGTTTTAGGAGTTTCTCCAAATCCTTTGGCAATCATCAACATTTTCTCAAGTTTTGCCTCCTCCCGTTTTATTTGGTCCACTCTGTTCAGAACATTACTTAGAAGATTATCGCTTACATTGCCATTAGTCAACATCTGTGTTGGGTTGGCAAGTGCAGATCTTTCCACTTCAAGTTGCTGATATAAGCCAAGAAGAAAATCCTTTTGTGCATACAGTTTCTGCTCAGCGAGCCGATACTCTGATTTTTGAGACATTTTGAGTTCTTGGAGGACCCCATCTATTGCATCTTCAAGCTTCAGAGATGCATTACTGTGATCTGAAGTGATGTATAGATTACCCTGGGCTCTCCCGTTAATATCATCAGTTTCAGGATAATGTTCAATCCAATTCATGGAATCCACCGTAGCTATGTCCAGTGTCCCCGATGTTATTACTTCCTTTCCAAGGAGGGGTATGCTCCCTGATCGAAATTGGATTTCTAAAATAACTAAGGGGCTAAAATATTAACAAATTCAAAGTCTAATTAGATTTAATTACTGTGATTTTTACATTTTGAGAAAATTATACAATTTTTTTCATTTTATAGCTCCCGAGTAAAAGAATACTAAAATTTCTTATTTATAATCCAACATAAGGTTGTCCTCACTTTTCAAAAATATGGATAATTATCATAGATATTGCACTACAACGTTAACGGATGTTTATTGGTCAAAGAACAAATTAAATTAAGTTTAATCAATAATGGGCAACCCAAAGTATTCATTTAGGATGGTTTTTTTCACACCAGAAACACGCATGTATGAACACTTGCATAAAAACAGAGGCCCCCCATACCCCCTATACCCAACCTCCTAGTTTGATCCTTGCCATTAATCCTAGTCGTTAATTTGCAAACCCAGAACATAGATGAAAAAAGGAGAAAGCATGTCTAAGACTTCCAGTTCATAAATCAAAAAACTGTCATTAGTACACTGAAGATTTTTTTATAAAATGTAAAATTACAGTAAAGGCTACTCAAAATGAAAATTTTCACAGTACTTCTATTATCGAATCAGAATATATCTATAATGTTTTAAAATTTCTCCTACTATAACCACATAAGAGGATACAAGTAATTCAGGATGCTAATGCTTGCAACAAACTAAGGAAACATATTGATGGGAGTCCGGGGAAGACCAATACTCCGTAGGAAAAAGATTTAGTTAGAACATATTTATTTTGGTCTTTTATGGATGCAAATGTTGTGCACGCATTTTATTTTTGTGAGGATTTTATTTCTGTTTTACTTGCGCATACGATACACATAGATTTACTCTATAAGTAAGCTTGTAATTGTTCTTCTCAGATATATATAGATATATTATAAAAAAAATTAACTTCTTCCAGAAAAACTTTTCATGCGAGTTACAATTTTTTCTGCAGTTATATACCCTACTGTTTCACTCTGTTTAATTTTGTTAATAGCGTTAGTTTTTGGCTGAACGAATACTAAATCCCCCCTTTACTTCTGATCTCCTTCCTCAAAAACTAACCTGGCCCAAGATTCTTCGCTCAATTCTTCAAAGAATTAGTCTCCGGACTTCAAAAATGACAACCCCCTCTTATTTGGCTTCAATTCGACCTGAAAATTTAACCGTCAAATGTTCCTAGAACATTTATGAGGGTTGTGATACTGATTTTGCATCCTCTTTAAGATCAATTTATCATCATCTAGTAAATGACATCCTTATGTTTCAGTTAGACACAATAAGATCTTCATTTAACAAGGCTTTTAAGCCTCCACAATGGAAGGTAAGTGACAATTTGAGAAGATGAAAGGCTATGCATAATTGAGAAGATGAAAAGTATGGGCTAGCTTTACTAATCACCCGTTGACAGAGTGAGGGAAGAAGGAAGGTAGTCTAGAGATTATGCCAGAGCAGGAGAAGAAAGAAAGGATAGTCTCCTTGACATAGGGTGAGGTCTACCTTTCTAAATCACCCATGAACCGTGCAATCAGTAAACACACACTTCCTTGTATTCTCAGCCATCCTATTTATGAAGGAAAATCCAAATAAAGGAAGGTAGTCCATATAGAGTGACAAACAGATGTTTTTGGCCTTGGTTCAACAACTATCTACAGGTAAAGTACAAGGCAAATGATGCTATTATTATCAACAACAGAGGCCAAATAAATATTAGCAGTGATAATAGAACAAGAAAGCACATGGCTATTACAGTCGATGGACGATCTATATCAGTGAAGTAGACAGTGATTTTACATTGCAACGACCAATTGGCAATTCAATTGACAGAAAATCTAGTTTTTCATGTAAAGAACAGCATAGAGGTAATTCCACTTCCTAAGGGAGAAAGTATTTCAAGAACAAATTTTCATGGAGACAATCAAGACAGCATATATTCTTGACCAAAGGACAAAACTCTTTGAAGTTGACAAAGTTTAGAGGTAACTCGTGACTTTGAAGAAAATTTTCAAGGCTATGAAAGCAAAATATGAAGTGAAGCGGCAATTTGGAGCTTAAGCTGCAAAAAGTGCCAAATCAATTTTTTATCTTATTATTTTTAAATGGAGACAAATTTTCAAAATTAAAATAAGAAAAAAAAATCTGAAAATTATGAAATGAGCAAAAATGAAGGGGAAAAATTCTACATATGCATGTATGATGATTAATAGAGATTGTAAGCATGAAGTAGATGTGTAGCAGTACTTAAATCACAAAATATTTTTAAATATTATACACACTGTAATATGATAAACTAATGTGTAGTAGACTATGCACATCAAACAGTCAACAATTTGATGGCTTACCGTAAATTATCGAAGGGAAGATAACATACCTATTAAATGCAATCACCATTAGTTATTGACTAAGTTTCATTCAAACTTCAACTACCACTCTCTCAGAAAAAAGAGAAAAAACTATGTAAACATGGGGAAAACCATGAAAGCAGTCCAACCGCATAACTCGAGCGCTTGGGCTGATTTTGGGCGTTTTCATCTCAAAGCGCTACTGGACGCGCCTGGCCAGATGAAAGCTGCCCAGCCGCTTAATGGGCCAGCTTTGGGCCATAGCGGAGCGATGCTTCCACTTGAGTTTAAACAACGGTTTTGCCCAATTTTTACTACAATGAACTTCATTAAGAAAGCTCTAGAGAAATCTAGACAATGAAAACACTTATTCATATCAGGTAAAAACTAGAAAGTCTTAAGGAACTTCAAATCGGTTAATAAACAGAAATAGACCTAATTTAAATAAGGATTAGAGTCTCCATCAAAGGCATCTATCAAGTTAGTAAATTGAGGGAAACAAGCATGTTTAGCGATGAGTTAATAAGATTAGAACTTGAGTGCTTTGAGCATAGAGGAAGAAAGAGAGGTTGTTGTGCAGAGAAGGTGATGTTTAAGTGTATTCCGTGCCTTTATATTTCAATAGATAAATATTCTTCTTGCATCCCATTATTCTTTTTTCCCCCTTTATGGTTCTTATTTATTATTGTACAAGATCTTTACTTTCTAGCAGCCACAAAAAAATATTAGGGTCGGAATTGCAAACTCTTCTGGCAAATCAACACAATTACTAATACTTCCAGTGCCACTTGTCGCGCTAATGAGGCTTTAGAAAATGAATTTACACAAAATAACTAAAATAAGCCTTAAATCATCTTAGATCCATTTTAATCCTGCATATGTAGCATAATATAGTATTTTCATGGAGCACCATCAGCTATAATTAACTATTCAATGAGAAATATCAGACCACAGAAACAACTTGTTGAGATTGTGAGTTCAAGGAAAAAAAACTGACCTGCTGTAGGTGTTGAGATATCGTTTTGCTCCCTCCAAATTTCATTAAGAGAAACCCCATGTTTAAGCTGGATTAAATATCATAGGGCAACGTTGTTGGTTTAGAAACCCTAAAATGAGATGACAAAGGCTACGGACAAAAGCATATTGTATTACCAGTGCAACAACTATCTGTAAACACAATTAGAAATTTTCCCAATCTAACTTATTTGCATATGTTTCCTCAAATCTGACTTATTTACTAATTTATCCCCACATTCTTTGACACTGGATTGAAATACCCTTACGATGGAATATACCCAATATATTCCATTACATTTTGTGAAAATATCAAATATTTAAAATAATACTAATTGACCCTAGTTAAATTAATTGATTTACAACTGATTTTAGAGAGGGCGGGGGAGGGGATGCCAGTCACGACCCACATCATAATCAGCGAGAGAGCATCTTCTTGTCGCTGGCCAACGAAGGGTAAGGACATCACGTATGAAAGGGGGAGAAAGGACAGAGTAGAGAGCTAGTGAAGGAGAGTGCAGTTGCGACAGAAGGTTCTAAGGAGGCTCGTTCGACACGATAAGAATCGCCCAACAGCTGGGGGTGACATCAGGCGTGGCATTA